TTCCCAAAGTTTATGAGCATTTCCTGCTTTAACTTAGCACAAGTTTTGTCAGAGACCATAAAAGTCCTGGAAAACCAAACTATATTTTATCCAAAAAATCTGTAAAATTATAAACCCTGTGATTTTTTTTTGTGGCTGTGATTTTTCTTTATGTTAAGAATACATCCAACTCCTATGAACAGCAGTTATTTTTGAAATTACTAAGTGAGAGGAGGGAGACTCATCCTATCAGCAAAGGTTCCATATGTTGATGGGCAGGAAAGGTGGATAAGCAACACTAGAGCAGCATCTACACTTATGATTGATTAATTGGTATTTTTATCAAAGAACAGAAAAGGTGAGGAGGAACTTCAGACACCATATCCCATGATGGAAATGTGTCAGGTGAAATTTGATGCACTGTTGCAGTGCGCTGTCTTGTTTAGGTTCTCCCCTTATAGTTATATGGTTTACTCCCAGGTTGTACCCCCAAGTTATATATAAAATGGTTTGTTCCCTTCCCACCTCTAGCCCTTATCCATCACTCTAACCCCTCCCAAGTTCTAGAACCTACCCTGTCTGTAACCTTAAAACTATGTCACGGAGCTGTCAGTTCCCCCTTGCTCCTCCCCTTGTTCTAGCAAGTTCTATGTTAATCATCCTTCCCTTGTGATATGATTTGTCATAATCTACGTATCCCCGCCTGTTTTCCCCTATTGGTTAACCTTGTACAAAGCCCTACCCATTGTAATGCCCCCTGTTTGTGTTGATTGGATCACTGGTTCTACCCTCCCACAGGGGAAGTTCCCCATTTAAGTTTGTGTGAGACATCTTTCCTTGCCTTTTGTGGTTCTCCTTCCTCGACCCCAGCTGCCTATCCAATAAACCCTTTCCCTGGACCATAAAAGGTCTCTCCTGCTGCTCTTTACTTGTCTCAAGATGCACTGCTGAAGCCGTAGCTCACGCAGAGTTACACTCCTACTCTGGATTCCTCAGGATTCTAGAGAGGAGCCTCTCTCGGTGCAGGCTCACAGGGGAGCTAGCTGGGTGCCCTGTGGGAGTGGGCGGACGGTGAGCCGTGTCAATGCACAACGCTTCATTAGTCAGGCCATGACAAGATAACCTTTCTTACCCACACAATTCCTGGGGTTCTTAAATAATCACATTATTTAAAAAAAAAAATAGGGAGAATTTTGAAGATCTCATATCTCTCTCCCCATACAAGCAATGATCAAAATAAAAATTATATTTAGCTAATTCAGTGGGCCTAATGACCAATAAAGGTAGTATTACAACGATATTTTCTTTCAACACAGATCCGTAGTAGACATGCTTGGAATACTGTTTACAATCCAGTCTCTTCATAACAAAAACTCTTTTGCAATAATAGAAGGAACTTAGGTAAGTCCAGTAGTGAGTATTCTTATTGTGGATAAATTCTTGTACAAAGAAATATTTAAGTCAGAATCTTTAAAAGATGGCAAGTGACAAAAAAGTTAAAAAAGATATATAAAAGTACCATTGAGTCAAGAAACTAAATAGGGGCTTTTACTGACCTTAATTACAGCATGAAATCAAAAGGGAAACTGATGTAATAGAGAGATTGCAAATACAATCTAATAGAATAAAAATTTCACCTCATCGGAAAGGGAGTTAGCCAGGAAAATCAGGAAAACAACACTTTTTTCTGAATATACTGGTATTTTTCAGTGCAATATTCTCAGTCAGTTCACGTCTGCTTTTAGTACTCTCAGCCTGTTGCTGTCAGAAGCACATTCATTGGTTCACCTCTTGAAGCAAAGACCAGTCAGAAAGGAAACCACTCACAGTAAAACAGATTCCTGAAATGCTAAACCCCTGACTACTCTGCTGTCACAGCACCCAAATGCCAGAAAGCCCCTGCCCTGCTCGGCCAGGCAATCCTAGTAGGAATGGAAAGCCCTTGATCAGCATTCACAGATCCAGCTGTATCAGTATCTATCAGTATCTTTCACACTTCAGAAAATAACCTGCTGCTTCCAAATAATGCATTGTGGGCTTTTTTTGTTATAGTCTTGAGGCACTAATGCAAAGTTAAGGGTGAAAAAGGAGCCTAATATATAACTGTAGACCATTTGAAGTGCTCAGGCCATAACCCAGTTCTTCTCATTTCCAAAGAAGGAAATTAATTGAGATTCTAGCTACAGATTGAATGCAGTTTAAATCTTTTCCTTTATCTTAGTTGTGGGTTTGGACTTATCTCCAACCCATAATTTCCTTCACTTCAGGAAGAAAACAAATACTCTCATTTCAGCCAACATGCCAGCACTCCAATTTTTAACTCAGAAATAAAGTTCAGTGGGGCAAAGCTTTTCACACAGTACTAATCTGACTGACCTAATTTCTTCCTCTAGTTCTTCCTCCTGGTGCCAACACACTGTCCACTGTGGCTCCCGTGCAGCCATACCTGCAGATCTGCAATATGGACTTAGCTCCGAGCCCAGGCAGGCTGTGTGTGAGTGACTCCCATGGCTGCTGCTCCTGCTAATGCCAACAGCAGATGAGCAAGCAGGTGTCATGCAGGAAGGTGCTGTGAGATTTCCAACGCAGATCAGGAGAGCAGAACTGCCCACACTTACTATGATTAAAAACCTACTTTTTCACCTATTTCTCTTTTTGCATTCCTTCAAATCAAATAAAGTCAGGTTTCATAATTAAGTCAAACCCCATAATTGGTTGCTGCAGTCAGTCCCAATCCAATTTTCAGTCTCAGCTACAACTCACTCCTTGATTCTAGAATCAGTTAAAGTTGACTCCAATCCAGCAATTTCTCAAGCTCTGCCTTTACAGCTATAACTTGAAAATGAGCCTGTAGCACCCAAGAGCACTGCTGCCACAAAACAATGCTGCATCAATGCTCTGCTTTGTCTTCCTCTCCCTCTGTTCTGACAGCCATTGACAGAATATAGATTTATGAGTCAGTGGAAGCAGGACAAGGCAGAGGCTCAAGAGGCCTTCTGGCTTAGGCATGGAAACTCAGTGAAAAAAAAAAACCAACAAAAACCCACAAAAAAAAAAAAAAAAAAAAAAAAAAAAAAAAAAAAAAAAGAAATTCAAAACAACCCAAACTCCAAAAACATGAAAAAAAGTCCTGCCCCCCCCAACTGGTAAACAACTAAATCACACATCTCAAAGCCCTTCCTGCATTACCATCCAATCACTTCAATCTTTAAATTATGTTTATTGTCTCCAGCTCAACCAACTCAGGTGGTCTCTGAAAATCTAGTTGTAACTTTGCTGCTTCATAGCCTGTCACTGTCTGCACAGGTTCTAGACTTGTCTGACAACTCCGTGGATGGTGTGCAAGGAAAACCAGCTGGATGGATGGATGCACACACACACACACACACACACACAAACACAAAAAGTGTTTGCACCTTCTCTGGTTGCTCAAGCAGAGCAGGCCACCTGCAGGTACTCCTCCGATCAATGGTGCACCACAGCCCACAGTTTGAAAATTGCTTGCCCCAGGTGTACCTGTCACACCTAATCACATTTATTTGCATTGTTATCCAAGTATTCAGAGCCTGGAATATGTCAAACCCTGCTGGTTTTAAGTAAACAAATGTCAGGGTAGCATAGCTTTTATAATCTACTTAAAACACATTACTTTTTGTATCTCAAACAAGATCTCAGTTTTAACTCCCACTATAAATCATCCTATACACATAACATCTGCTACTCCAACAAAAGAGTACATTAAAAGGCTTTAATGATTAGAAAGAAAATAAGTTTTTCTAAGGGCCCCCTGGAAACACAAATGCAGGGCATATCTTTTTGTGTACCAGGAATTATACTGTCAGTGTCAAATATACACATACATTCTGTACTATTCTTCCTGCTATGTTTGAAGAAAGAATAAACAGCCCCAAGGGTGCACAATATTTTCATATTTCAGTGTGCAGTGAGAAGAATATCCTTTCAATGCTACTTTTCTGGAAGGAAAGCAGTCCTTTTTTCAACGAGTACTTATTACCAAACAAAACCTAAATAAAGATGTCTTTATCAATGGATATTTTTTCATGTTATTATTATTATTCCATTCCCATCAACAAGTAAGTTATGAAAAGAATCTTTACTCTGGAATGGAGGAATCTCTGCTTTGGGACAGTCGGGACAAACTCAGGCACTCTCTGTATTCTGGTCTTAAAGTCTGCAGTTTATTTCGTAGGGCATGGGTATATATAAGGCCCTGCTAGGAACTGCAGCCACAGCTCAGAGCAGGGCAGAAAAAGGGATAGAGAGAAAGTAAAAGAAGAGAGCTTAAAAGAGCTTAAGAAAGTAAGAACTAAGAGAGTAAGAGCACGAGAGAATGATTTTCCCATTTACCATACATTAAATCTTCTTCTATGTTGAATATTCTAATTTCCACTAACCAATCTAATACAAGATACAAATTCTCTAACATTTGCATGCAACCTATAGGAATCACTATATTGCCATGTCTTACTGCTTTTCTTATCTCTAAATTTTATCTGGGACCCTTCCTGCCATGCCTAGGGAGGATGTCTGCTTTTTGGTATTCGCAGCATCTAACATTATCTAAACAAAGGGGCATTCAGGCATTTAGTTGCTTTCAGCCACACAGTCGAAAATTGCTACCATTTCTATTTCGCTTATATTTTCCATATTCTCAAAGTCTTTTGCTAGGCACTCGTATTTATAAGGTTTTCCTAATTCATCCTTCCCAACACTGGAAGTCTAGTTGTGTAAGCAAACTGGTGACAGTACAAGTGGTATGAAGTTAAAATTGGAGTGCTAATCTTCAGCTTACTTTTCAAGTGTGAGACAGCCTTGGCTATCTAGCCTAAGAACATCCAGCTCCCTGCCTGAGCACTGACAGACAGGAGCAGTGCAGACTTGAGGAAAGGCCATGAAAGTGCAATATCCTGTACAGCTGAGCTCCCACTGAAGCATGCAGGACATTACAAACCCACTGATTCAAATAAACGGTCATGCAGCTTTCAGCAAATGGAATTTACCTTGAGGTTTGGGTTTGGTAAGCTTCCCACAGGGCTTTGAGATTGTGACAGTCTTCTGGCAGTCGGCATTATGAAGGGCTCTTTTTAGGCTCCCGGTCCGAGTCTTCAAGGCCGTGTTCAAGTCACATTCTCCCCAGGCCTGGAACTGGTATTTGCACTCCGCTGCAGCGAGGACAAAAAAAAGCAAAATATAAAACACAATGACTAAGTGTGGAAACAAAAATGTTGTGAGTCTAATAGGATATCACAGGCAGTTGGTACTTACAGACAAAAAGATGTGCAACCAAAGAAAAGAATCCCAAGAAAACTTTAAAGATTATTTGCAGTGGTAATTGCAGTCTCCGCCCCACTCCCCAGTGCTTTAAAATGTAATCCTCTTGCTTTTGCATGGATATTGCATTTTTTGGCATATAAAGAGAAATACATTCAGCTATGAGTATGAACAGAAAAATAACAAAAAAAAACCCAGCCCAAATAAAGCTTGAACAGAATGTATGTACACCCATAAACTTCTCAAGTCTGAAACTGCAGCACCGATTGTGTTGGTAAGGTCACAATAATTTCAACATCATTCAAACTCTTTACAAGAAAAAAAAAAAAAGGCAAGTTTGCAAGAGTAATCAAATTTGAGTTTTGGATGGACATCTTGTCCAGGACAGACCTGACATATCTTCCCAAAGTGGTACGTACAAACCTTCTGAACTGAATGATAAAAATGAAATACACTAGTCTTCACTCACTGTTGTCATTGCACACATGGGCAGCCAGCCCCCCACGCTCCACATCATACATTGTAAAGCCTGTGATAGCCATCGCAGAGGTTCACAGCTGTAAACTTGCACTACTGCCCTCAACAGGGAGGAACACCACAAAGGGCAGAATTCAGCACGCGGGAAGGCAGTAGGTTATAGGAACTCTCTGAAGAGGAGCTCTGAGGAAGCTGCCTTCTGACACACCTTGCATGTTCTAGCTCTGATGAACCTGAAAAACAGGTCTAACCAAGACATCTGCAGAACTAAGCAGAAAACACAGGCTTCCTACTCCATATTCAAAATAAAAAAACAAAGTAAATCCCTTAAGAGCGTGATGCTGACCTCCAAATTGTTTCTTCCAGTTGCAGGGAATCTTACACTTCTGGGTCTTGGTGGTTTGTTTGCACTCAGCTCCAGTGCGAGTGCCCTCACGTGTCCCCAGGCCACAGTCACCACTGGTGGGCACACAGACACTCCACTGCCATTCCCCACAGTCAGACTTCTTCGCCTTTTTCTCTGGATGAAGACAAGGAACCAAGCCAGAAAAGTGGTCAATAGCGCCTATGGAGAAGTTGCCTAAACTTAACAAAAGTCACAGCAGCTGGGTAAGCAAGGAAGACATTCATAACACAATTGGTTAAAAGCAAACTGTCTGACATCCTCTTCACAATTCTGCAGAGACAGGTCAATACCTTTGAGTCCAAAGCAGGCTCATCATACAAACTCAGCCCCACTGGCATGTTTACTATTCCATTTGGATATTCTCAAGTGGATTCTCATCTCCAGAAATCTAAAAACTCACAGGGATCATTGACAAAAATATGCAGGAAGGCTCTCACTCAGAAAGGACACTCCTCTGTCTCCAGTAGCTGGTGGCATGCAAATATACTCAGTTCCAGCTGAAGCACTAAACACTAAACAATGAGAAATGTATGTGCTGGCATTGTATATCAGGGGATTTGAGCACCTCCTGGAAACAATCATGGGATGCCAACTTTTGATCTGCTATACCATGTCACATTTTATATCAGAATATGAACAAAACTTCAAAGACGAAGGAGCTACATGGAAAAGTGTACTCGAGGTGCTGTTAATTCAAGTGGGTTTGTTACTCAGGGAAAAAAAGTAAGGATCATGATTTTATTTAGATCCTTAAACCCAAGTTTTATGAGAAAAGACAGCAATGTTATCAAACCCAAGGATTCACAGAAATAATTACTTTGGCCCCTAAAATATCACAAGTAACTATAAATTTACTTATATAAAATTATTTTTCTTCTAGGTCTTGCATGTTTATGCTAGCATTTTCTCATATTTCCACAAAGCCAAAGTGCTTTAAAAGTTCCTTTTTTTTTTTTTACTGGGAACACTAATTCTGACAGACTCACAGTTCATATTATCTGGTGTATATGTTGCCTGAAAATAATAAGACCTCAAGAAAACCACAAAAAAATATGTTCCTTAAAAAAATGTCAAAATTGCGTTTGACACATACGAATTTTTCACCCTGGGCCAGTTTCTCCTATAATGAGGTCTGAGTTCATCACTGACAGAAAACAAGTACTGCTGGATATCTGGCTTTCTGTGCAACAGCAAGTTAGCACAATTCTTTGTCACAGGATTTGCACATCACACAGCATCAGTGTGGCACTGTCGTATATAACACTGAACAAGTGACATAACTGCTCTTTCATCACTCCTGTTTGGCTCCCCCTAAGTCAAGCATGAAACTATTCATGGAGTACATTTTAAGCTGCTTTGCAATATCCACTGTGTGATAAACCAAGGACTCCAGTCTCTGGGGCTCTCAAGCTCCCACTTGACATGGAAACCCATTTTGTTTCCCTATTTAACACAGAACAACATGACACAGACAAAAATCTTACCTGACATCAAAAGATTAACAAGTGACCTGATTTCATAACAAAACCAGAAGTGTTTGACATTCTCACACACATGCAATCTATCTTGGGGATTAATTCTGAATTAGACTGGACCTTACCTGGTTTCTCTTTCTTGCCAGCCTCAGTGGTACTCATGGCTGCCAGAAGGAAAACAAGTGCCAGGAAGGCAGCTGTGAACATTCGACCTTGCTGTTGTTGCTGTTGCATTCTGCAGATCAGTGACAGAGAGGGAAAAAATGGTTAGTGAGACTGTAGAAAGTGGGACTTCAACTAAAGCATTTTTGGGAAGCTCTGCTCCAGGTCCACAAGACACAAGCAGGTCAAAAATAATTAGCTATTGCCAGAATGGGCAATTATCTCCACTCTGGAGAGAATACAGATTTTTAAACTATTTTCCAGCCTGTATACTAAATCTACATCACTGATACTATTGGAGGAGTTTTGCCATGGGTAGCTCTGTAACTATTGCTTGTCTTCTAGATACCTGCTGGAGAATCAAGGATCCTGACAGGTCTGGAACCCCCCTCTTCTTTTCTGACCTCTGGCTGTGTAAAAATAAGCAAAATACACACTTAATTTTTCAGTTTACCAATTCATACGAAGTAGGGAATACTCTACTGTCCACCTTGCAAGGGCTGAAGTTTTTATTAGGCTTAACTTACATCTGAAAAGAGCTTCTTTCACAAAAACTTATATTGGTGACATGATGCATCATCTTTATTGTCATTGTCATGTTGCTACATACTTCTTCCTTCCCTTCCAATTAGTGCCTCTTTATAATATAAATTAACTGTTTGCATTTCAAACAATTCTATTATATGATAATTCAAAGCCGGCACAGAGATAGAACTTGTACACACTCCTAGAGGCTATCCACATCATGCTAATGAATCCAAGATCTGAATTTGGGAAGCAGATATTCAAATACAAAAAGGTATTAAATACATTTACTTGGGATTGAAGCATCAGTCACCAATTGTTGCAGTGTGTTGTTTAGTTTGGTCTCTTCCCTATGTTATATGGTTTGTTTTTAGTTTACTCCCCTGAGTTCTGTATAAAATGGTTCAATCCTTTCCTGCCTTTCCCTTGTCCTTCAACCCTACTCCCCACCTACCTTCCAGATTGGGGAGATGGGCAGGGAACAAACTCCACCCAGAGCCCTATCAATCTTCCCTAGCCCCTCCCATATTTCTAGAATGTTCCAAGTCAGTTATCCCTTCTCCGATGTATGGTTTGCTGCTGTAACCGCGTTCCTGCCCTTGTATTCCCTCACTGGTTTACTATGTAAGTTTCCCCGCCTTGTGTGCCTCCCCCAAGTTACCGTGACTGGCCAATGTTTTGTACCCTCCCCTTGGACCTCCCTGTATTTAAGTTGGCGCACAGGTGAGTTCTGTGCCTTTTGCGGTTTCTCCTCCCTGACTGCTGACCTCCTCCCTGTTCCTCCAATAAACCCTTTCCTTCGGAACCGTAAAAGGTCTCCCCTGCGCTCTTCATTCTCCCTGGATGGATTGCCCAAGCGGTAGCATGGAGCTACACCTCTACCTTGGGTTTCCTATGGGTACCTGGGGAGAGGTACTCCTGACATGCGCTTGCCCGGAGCTAGCCGGGGGCCCAGACAAAGTGGGCGAGGAAGGTGAGCTGCATCAACCAATCAGGCACCTGAGTCATTCTGAGCTCTTTCCCATTTCTATAATTTGCATTGTCTCATTTCGGCACTGTTTATTGGAACACAGGGCCTTCAATACATATGTTAAAAATAAGCAACCTCCCCCTTTCCTAGAGACATCTCTCCAGTAGGCAGCCAGGTACCAAGACAGTGGACAAGACATTGCTTGGATGAAAGGAAGGTTTCTGCAATTTTTTGTTTTATTTTTCGTTTTCCTCAAACCAGGACCCATGACGTTCATGTTACACCAGCCTTCAGAGGAAGTGTAACAGTGCCACTAAGATGGTCTTTAAAACTCAGCTAGACTGATATTTACAGAGACTTTAATGGCAGCCTGATCTTATTTGCTGAGCACAGCAACTGTGGAGGAGAAATATTTCTCAACATGAACAAAGAACAAAATTTATTTGAAATTTAATTTGGCACTCCCCAGTATTCTCTGCTGGCAACCTCTTGCTTAAATGCAACATAATTATAACTGACATGAAAAACAGGAGAGGAATCACAAACATGGAGACTTTTAAGTATCTGACTTTAATATAATTCTAGAAGTCAGATGAGACATCTTATTAGGTGTGTTGAAATAAAGTTCATTTGAAGACTGCAAGAGGCCTGGCATTCAAATGTCTGAAAGAGACGTCATTAGCACCAGTTTCATTTACTTCAAAAGGAAGTATTATGTCCCATAAAGAAGACGAAGAAAGGACCACTATTGTTTCCAGCAAATTCAAAGGAGCCCAGAGTAGAGTATGTGAGTTTCCAGAGAGCTTGGGTTTGTTTTTCCCTTTCTTTTGCTATGTTTCCACTTAGAGCCTCTCATATTTCACAGAAAATTAATAAAATAAATAGATAAATACATTAAATAAGCAATTAAAAATAAAATATGCAACCTGCCTTTTAGCTCAGCTTACTTCAAATTGCTTTTCCATAATCAAATGAGCATCTATTTTATGAGGAAAGGCTGAGAGAATTGTGTTTGTGCAGCCTGAAAAAGAGAAGGCTTGGGGTGATCTAATTGCAGCCTTCCAGTACCTGAAGGGAGCTCCCGAGAAAGATGAAGAGAGACTTTTTACAAGAGCATGTAGTGACAGAACAAAGATGAATTAATTCAAATTGAGAGTAGAGTTAGATAAGATATTAGGAAAAAAGTCTTTACTGTGACCGCGGTGAGGCACTAGAACAGGTTACCCAAGGAAGTTGTGGAATCCTCATCCCTCAAAGTATTCAAGGCTAGGTTGGATGGAGTGCTGAGCAACTGGCCTAGTAAAAAGATGTCCGTACCCATGGCAGGGGCTTGGAATTAAATGATCCTCAAGGTCTTTTCCAATACAAACCATTCTATGATTTTTCAATAGTATGACAACTGTGTTTGAATCAATCTCCACACTTAGTCCCTTGTCCCTTTCCTTTGGGGGAGCTTCCCCACCAGTAACACTGCACATCCCCTAACACCCCATTTTCACTATAATATGTCTTCTCACTTCATCTCTTCCAATCAGCTTTTCAGAACCCTTTGTTGAAGGAGAGAGTTAATTGATTTCATGGAAGCACACATAGCAGGATATCCAAACACTTTCATACCTCAAGTCACTGTCTGAGGGGTATCAGAAGCTGAAGCAAAAGCAGCACTAGTGGTTTTATTCTACAGGATGCCACCACATACAAGAGATGGTCACAGTTTTGGAGCTGCCTCCTACATCCTCATCGCCCACCCCAGGGACCTGGGATGTGGTCACACATATCCCAGAGGCTCCCCAGTCACTGGGAGTCATGGATAACTCTTACTAGGGGAGTTGCCTCATATTAAGTTGAAAGGGACTCAAATTTAAATCTGACTGACATTCTTTTCAGTAAAACATATGGGGAAAATGGTTAGGCTTTGGAGTCTGAAATATTCCAGAAGCCCTATAAACAAAGCCCTACAGAGCCTTAATATAGTATGTTTTCCTAAGACTCCTCTACACTTGCCCAAATGTCTAATGCAAACACTGAACCTGCAGAGATACAGATATTTCATCTCTCTGCAGAGACCCAGGCTGCTCCTGAAGTGCTTTTCCTATACCTGCAAGTGAAAAGCCATGTACAAACAGAGACCTTGCTTCACACCACACTAACACTTCAAATATGATGTAACCAGTATGACCACAGAAAACCATTTAACTGGCACATGATAAACAGCAAAGGTGGGTGCTCTTGCAAATTTACAAACAGTCCATATGTAGTACTCACAAAATAGTAGGTATTTTTTTCAAAAGGCCAGAAAATGCTATCTACCAGCAAGTATATGAGTCTAATCCTCAGTTTTTCTTGGGAATATTTTAGTTGGCAGTTAAAAGATAGATTAAGATAAAAACTCACCAGACCAGACTTGGTTCTGCAAACAATGTATTCTACTGAAAATAACTGTGTCTTTTTTGGTTTATTTTTTTCAAAATTCAAAGGTGACAGTCTGCTTTTTTATTAGATTCTTTGATAATGTTCTCTGTTCAGCCTTCGATTTAAAGAACAGACAGAACTGCTAATACTAATGAAATAAAAAGTGTTATACTGCATACAAAGTGGACTCACTTGGATATTTTGATTTTCATAATGAGCCTTTTGGCTACACCAACCGCAACAGGTAATTCATGTCCCATGAGAGGAAAGCATCTCTAAAATCCTGTATGACTGCCCTTAAAGGAGAAAGATGGCAGCATTTAAACAAATGCTAGGGGTATTTACAACCACAGAAAGACAAATATAAAAGTGAAAGAAAGAAATGAGATTTTTGAGGTTTGGGCTGCTACAGGAAACGTCATAAGAGAGAAAAGGTAAAGAGAGAGAAAGAGAGTTTAGAACAGTTTAAATGGCAAGTTGGAACAACATGAGGAAAAGAGAGTGAGTAATCACATAAAGGGCACCAAAGCAGGAAAGAGAGAAGAATAAGTGGTTAATGACAGTTAAACACTAAACCAGAGAATGTTAAAAAAGGCATGAAGTGCATAATGAGGGGAGAATTGAAGACCAGTTGAGATATGCCATAGCAAGTGGCTTCTTGCAGCAAAAATAAGGCATAGGAATTACTTTAGTGTTACAGTTAATTTCACAGTCAATCTGTGTTTGAGAGTAAAAAATGAAAGGAAAATTAAAAAGGGCAGGCAATCAGAGAATTAATGACTCCATCAGCTATCCATCCATGGTTTCAATGACATGTTGAGCCTCAGAAAGAGAATAGGGCAGAAATCACTCCATGGTTGAAGTTTAAGAGACTTTTTGAGCAGAGCTTGAGCCTCCCACTCTAAATCACACACTACCCCCAACCAAATCCATTTTACAATCCCTCTCAAGGGCAGCCCAAGGCAGCACAGGCATTTCCATGCTGTTCTTCCCAGACTTCTGAATCTCTGCTAGTGAAAGTCAAGCTTGCAGAGTGACTTTATTTGTACTCACACAATTAACTCACACCCAGGTACTCCTGAATCTGAACAAGTCTTTCCCAAACACAAGCCTTCAGAACAAAGCAGACAATTTTGGATGAAGCTCTATTGGTGAGCAAGTGTTT